GAATCAAGAACTGTTTAGATTATAGGTGTCTCAAATAAAGAATCTTATGTCTCTTGATGGATCTACTATGGTCTGGAGATTAGCTTATTGAAAGTTAGTGTTTCAGACAATGCAAGAGTTCCATTGCAAAGATTCATTGTCTTATCCTGCAACTTCTTGGGAAAACTCTGTGTTCACAAACTCAAATGTTCAAGGATCATCATCTTCCATGACCGACAACAACACATTAAGCTTGACGATGGAGACGATGTCTACTCATTTCCCAGGGATGAAACAAACTGGTTTTCAATTTCAGGACCAACCTGATTCCTCCTCCACTCAATCCACTGGAGGAGAATCATATGCTGAAGTTGCAAGTTTAACCGAACCTAATCATCGATATGGCAACAACATTGTTACACATCTCTCAGGTCCAATTTTCGAAGTTTTCTTTCGCCTGGATAGGAGTTCACATTGTATCATCGGCAAGTAGTTGTTACTGATCTATGAGTTCTTCTTTTGATGTAGGTTACAAAGAAAAAGCAGAGGAGGATCCTAGTGGAAGTTATTCGAAGTCGATCTTGTTGAAAGTGTCTCAAGATTCAGTGGTTCCTCCTATCATTGAGGTTACTTAGTCAATCGTATTTGACATTATTGTGAATCTTGTAGTAGATGAGACTGAGTTTGAAGCTTATTAACGATCTCTAGTGTCTATACCCTCAGGCGGCTTCTTGGCCTATTGAAACGCCATATTTTAATGGTTTCTTGCCTTTTCCGTATGCATCACAACGCATGGTAATACACAATTTTTACATATCGAGATATTGCTTTCGTTGCGCCTTATGGCAATGAAGCCTTTTGCGCTTAAAACGTTTCTTGATCTTATGAAGTATATTTAATGGAAATCTTTGCAGGCGCATCATCCTCAAATTGGAGGGTTGATTCCTTCTAGAATGCTTTTACCTCCCAACATTCCAGAGAACAAACCAATATTCGTCAATGCGAAACAATACCAAGCCATTCTCCGTCGCAGGCAGCACCGTGCAAAACTCGAAGCTCAGAACAAGCTCATCAAAGTCCGAAAAGTACGTTTATCTCTTTGCACCATTCTGATAAACAGACCTATTCAATGTTTCAAATTTTTTTTATCAAAAAAGTTCATAGATTTATATATCAAGACCAACTATGATGATATTATGCAGCCATACCTTCACGAGTCGCGCCACCTTCATGCGTTAAAGAGAGCTAGAGGCTCAGGTGGTCGTTTCCTCAACACAAAGAAGCTTCAAGAATCAAAGTCGCCACAATCTCCTTTCTCGGACCCGCAACATTTCTTCAAGAACACTCATGGTAAGTTCCGACAAAGGGACATTTCAAGCGATGGGACCGGGTCAAGTGGCTCGGCAACATCTTGCTCGGAGATAACTGGGAACAACAACGACATGTTCCAACAAAACCCACAATTCAGGTTCGCAGGTTATCCATCAAACCACCATGTCTCAGTCCTCATGTGAGGCGGCTAGTGGTAGATGAGATCACCACGGGAAGTCATCCTTGGCTATATATCACTTTGTTCCATATATATAAAGGTTTCTGCCTTATAAGTTTGCTTAATTTCATTCTGCAATGAAAAAATTTGAAATCTTTCAACTATTTTGTTCCTTATTGAGGTTTTTTTATTTTATGTGATTGTTTATGGATTGTTGATTCTTGATTTAAACTTGTTAAGCTATGATTATTGCAAAAAGTAATTATTTTTCTTGTATCTTACACTAGGGTTTTAGTAGAAGAAGCCCATGGGCTTTTCTATAAGCCCAATTTAATTTTGTTCTTCGTATCCCAAAGAAATGACGGCGGTAGGAACTATCGGAGGATCGTGAATCGAAGAACCATTTCCCGATTCAAAAATGAGGCCGAAGAAGTCACTTTGCGGCGGAGAAAACTCATTGTCGATCCCAATTGATCTCGTTATCGAGATATTCTTGAAGTTGCCGGCGAAATCTATAGCCAGATTTCGTTGCGTATCGAAGCTCTGTGCCTCTGAGATTCGCCGACAAGATTTCACGGAGTTGTTCTTGACCAGATCTTTAGCTCGGCCACAGCTCTTGTTCGCTTGCCGAGACGCAGAGAATGTCTTCCTTTTCTCCGCAGATCAGTCTCAAAACCCCCCTGAAGAGAAGAACTCTTGTGTTGTAGCGGCCAATCGTCTTGCGCATTTCCCCTGTGATTCCAAGTTTCGTTATGATTATGAATTACTTGCACCTGTAAGTGGCTTCCTCTGCTTACGTCTTACCACCAAGGTAAGTAGAAAGTCGTCCATGTGGGTGATATGTAACCCTAGCACCGGAGAATACTTTCCTTTACCCAAAGCGATTACCAAGAGGAAGGTAGGTGTAGGTACCTATATTGGATACGATCCTAGTAAGAAACAATTCAAGGTATTGTCAATGACATGGTTAGCTGGAAGGACTAGTATCTCTGAGGAGCATCAAGTTATGACATTAGGAATTGAACAGCCTTCGTGGAAAATGGTTGAATGTTGCATACCTCATTATCCTGGAATCGATTGTGGTGGGATATGCATCAATGGTGTTTTGTACTATAAAGCTAAACGTTATGAGTCTTGTATGGATTATATGATAGTTTGCTTTGATTTTAGCTCCGAGAAGTTTAGCTTTTTGGAAGCCGAGGAACTTTACGATAGATCAAGGTTTCATAAACCAACTATGATAAACTACAATGGCAAGGTAGGTTTGCTTATGCAGGATCCTCCTTCCTATATTTGTGGAAGAAGTAGAAGTTTTGAGCTGTGGGTTCTAGAAGACAAGGAAAAACAGGAATGGTCGAAGCATGTATACGAATTGCCTACTTTGTGGAAGGATGTAGTTGGAAAGACCATGTTAGACTTTGTTGGAATGATCGGTACAAATGAGATTGTCTTGTCGGCGTGCTTTCTATCCATGCCTTGCTACGTTTTCTACTTGAACATCGAGAGAAGCACGATTACAAGAGTTCGAATCCATGGAATGGAAGCATTTGAGGGTTATGATTTTAGGACTTTTCCAAACTATGCAGACAACGTGATGCTTATTCAAGGGTTGTAGGTAAACTGCCCATTAGCTCCAGTCTCAAATAGAATAGCTATTAAAAAATGGTTGAGGTTCCAAGAATCTTAAGAGGAAAATGGAATTGGGGAGGGTTTTTTTTTTTTTGGATAAAAACTATCGTTCCTTTCTTAAAGAGTCCACACTCAAAAATTTTTTTTTTTTCCTGCAAAATTGAATCTCTCTTTTTTCCATTAGCAATGTTACCACTATTCAATAGACTCAAAAGAGTTATCACTTCTAATTTGATAATTTCACAAAGTTGTGTGAAAAATAAACATTTACCTTGAAATCATACTGTTTCTTCAATCCTCTTATCTCTATCTCACATCATATATGGACCAGAAACATTACTACTTCCATTTTATTAAGAGTGTCATTTTCGTTTTACGTTTTTAATGTAACTTTTCAAATGCATTTTTGGGTTCTCCTACTTCAGAGCTAACATTTTGAAAGTAAATTAATTAAGGATATATCTGTATGTTTATCTATCTATTTTTTTCTGTACGTGAAATATGTCTAGATCACGACACTCTTATAGAATGTATAGAATATGAATAATGTGAAGACACACGCAGGTGGTCCATGAAAATTGTTTTGACCAAGACAACCGATTCAACATGGTGGGAAAGAACAAGGACATCTTTGTCTTTGTCTCATTTTATTAATGTTATATATTATGTCTTGACTTTTGCATCCTTCAATCATTTCTCATTTGTTACACCACACCCAAATCTTTATGATTACAATCACTTACCAACCAAATAGACGTCACAAAACAATGATTTGTTGTACTGCTCCAAGCAATATTGATAGTATATACATCTCTCTAAATCTTTATAGATACTCGAAATCCAGTGGTGGATACTGTATTGTGGATAGTGAATTTACATATCCAAATCCAGTCGTGGAGTTTGAAAAGAGTTATAAAAACCTAATCACCAGCTAAGTACGATTACTTAATTCATGCTAGTTTATAAGTTGTTCAAACATATACGCATACTAAATTTCTATTAAAAATATTCATAGTCAATCGTTGTTTGTGGGAATTTTTCATAGTAATTTAGATAGTATCTGAGAAATATATTTTTTAAGTTTTTCCTCAAACACGACTACATGTTTGAGCCAAAACATGTAGGTGTGAAAGCTTTCACAATTTGGACCAACAATCAGATGATCATAGATAATTCCACAAAATATTTAATAATAAATCACTAATTTCGGACAATATGATCATGTTTTTTTTTAGAAAACATGAACATATTGTTTGAACATATTTTTTGAGAAAGCATGAACATTTTTATTTTGTTTTACAAAACATGAACATATTGTTTTTGTTTTTTTTTGTGACAATACGTTCTGTTGATATTCACTTATATATCTATATATTGTGAAACATAGTAGGCTTAAAACATATAGATATCAACAAAAGTATAAGACTGGGACGCAAATGGTTGATATATGTCCTCGGGAAATAATATTGTTCTACATGTTCTAATCTTTTATGCAAACATAGGTTAATGAAAGTTTTTTTTTTTGTTTGGTTTTATTGAAACAGAAAAAATCATTTCTAATTTGGTTTTATTTCGATTCAGTTTTATGAATTTCAGTTTGGATTTTGTTTGGCTTTACTTGTGGTTTAGTTCGACTATATGGGATTTTAAGAAAAGCCACAAGATGTCCATT